TTTCGGACATAACAGTAAAACAATGTATATTTGTTCTCATATCAAGAGTCTTAAGTGAGAATCATCTCAACGTACTCTTGAGATGTTGCTTTTTACTTAAATTTTATTCTGAGTTTACGGTTTTTTCTGGCTGCCCAAGATTTTAGTACTACATCCAAATGAATTGTATCTATTAAATCCTTCACGGTTAAGAGGACAATCTCTTCCAGCCTTTCACTTTTCATTGTTGAGCGCAAATAGTTCTTGACAATTTTCATTTTGCTGAATGATCTTTCAATATCAGCCACACTTACTGGAGCAGTAAACAGAAGTTTGTAACATTTATAAACGTTTGGGAAAATTTCTTTATTTTTGAAAGCAGTGTTTCCGGCGTCGTGGACTGTCTTACATTCTTTCTCTGTCTCATTTACAAAGTTAACAAAAATCTCAAGTTCTGCATACAGTGACATACAATCTACGCTTATTGATGGAGGAAAAAGTTCGGTGACCTTTTCAACTTGTTCAAAATTTGGTTTAGTCAGTGGAGGCTGAAGGATAACAGCTAAGGGTTTTATCTTTTGCAAACAACTTTTTATGTTATCTCTATATTCTCTGATGAGGGAATCGAGGACCTCAATCATGCATTTTCGATAGTTAGTTTTTAGTGACATAATTGCCAAAGTCTCAGGGTTGTCATCCAAACGTCTACTTGATCTTTTATTACTCTTTCTAGCAAACTCTTCCTCGGGATTGGAGCCTAGAGTCTTCGCAAACTCAACACTCGCATCTATTTGGTCATTCAATTCTGATTCACTGTGCCGTATTCTTTCCAGTGATTTAACAGTTTCATCAATCAGTTGAAGACCATCAAGGATATTGAGCTCTGGCTTCTGCATCTGTACTGTCAGGATCTTGGTCTTCCTCATGATAAACCTCATAAACATAAGTGCAAAAACAAACTCAAATTTGACCATTTTCTTACAGAGCGAGGTTGCTTTGGTTCTGGTTAATGAGTTGTTGTCAATTTTTGCTATGTCCGCTAAGGCATTTCGTATGGCTTCAAAAGATCTCCATACCGCTTCAATTGATTCACTTCTATACACCCATCTCGTCTTTGAGAGATTGCGCAATTTAAGAGCATTTTCAATTTCTTCCATATGTTCTTGCAACATAGAATCTCGTTTACAACTTCTGCTGAAAAAAACATACAGCTCTTCGAGCAAGCTATACATCTCAACAAATGTAGAGGCCTTTGAGCAATGCTCATTGAAAGTGTTTGATCTAAAAACATATAATTTAAAAATTATTCAACCTAGAGACTAGTCTTAAAAATATTTAAAAAGATATAGTTAATGCCTAAGTAATTTTTACGGCAATGTTTAATGCTGTGCATTTGACACATACCTATGGCCTTGACATGGGATGTATGGAATGTTGCGTCCAACAATTTCCTGCAAATGTTGTTGAACTCCATTAAAAGTCCCAGACATTGAAGCTGTGTAGTCGTAAGACTGATACACTAACCCATCGTGACCAATAGGTAATCGTGATTTAAGGGAATCAAGAATCTCTTTTGCTTGGCCTTCACCTGTTTTATTCCTTGTTTCTTTCATCTCCAGTATTCTCTCGTTTGGCACGTTGTTTTCGTCAACGTAGCGCACTGCCACTACGAGGCGGTCCGTATTTGAAGTGTCAGGAGACGTGTCGGCCATGACTGAGTATATTTCAGATGAAACGATATCTTTTACGATGCGATTCCTTACATCTTCAGTCAAAAGGCTAATAAACTCATTTTGTGACATAGGTGATAGGTATTTTACTGAATAAGGTTTCATGTTCTTGTCTGACAGCCATGACTGAAGTCTAGGGTTATGCCTGGCAACAAGATTTGATATTTGGATAAAGTTTCCCTCATGCTTTTCATCATGCCCTCTGAAAGCTAGCTGTTGTCGTGCCAATGTTCTTGCGATGTCTAAAAGGATCTTTATGGCTTCTTGGTTTCACAAATTGTTTTCTTCTTCTTGTATTCTTACTTCTCTTAACTTCTTTTCCAGCATTACATCGACGCTTTTCATATTGCAGGCAAAATGTACCAAATCACTCAAAGCAATTTCGTGGGATTCGGAAAAATAATGCTGTTGCATCTTTCCTTTTTATCTTTACCCACGCTTCTCATCTTATCCCATGATCGAACTCTAGTAACCCAGGTATCTGACGCTTTCTTTCTTCCTGGTCCTCTCGGAAAAAGAGCACAAACAATACAGGATGCATAGTCCGCGTTTATACTGTACTCTAAATGGGGATATTCCTTGTACCAAATTGATGAAAACATACGTTGTTTGTGTTGTGCAATGCTACTGTTCTCAGGGTAACGATTGAGCTTTCGTTGGATGGGCCATTCTCAATTATTTTTTTTTCTGAAGATCTGTCAACAGTTTTGGACGGTCGGCAGGATCAAGCAGCAGCTCGATCATTTTCTTCTTCCAAAACACCAGTTTGAGATTTCGCAGGGCAAATAGCTTGGAGAATATCCTCACAATTGCTTTGTAAAAGTATGGCCATGTTACTAATCTTCTTTACTTATTCAAGGACATGCATTACAATTTCTTGAGTAAACACTATTTCTGAGGACAACGTTTCAGTGACAGTTTTTTTGCAGTGGTTAACATTTTCAGCCAATATGTTTAATTCAGCTACAAGTTTCCCATGACAGGTGAGATTTCTCTCCTCTTCTTGTTCGTTAACAGATTCTTCATCATCAACCTAGAAAAGACCAAAATATAATTACTTTAGAAATAACATTTTAACAAATTAATTTAATTATTTCAACGTCATACTCAGATATTACAAACCACATCCATAATTTCCTCTTCTCTGAATCAACTTCATTTATCTTGTTATCTATTTCAAATATTTCGCATACATTGTGTACTTCTAATGCCACTTCAAGGTTTTCCTGCAAGGTAGCATTTTAACAAACAGTATTTAACGTTAGAAAACGATACATTGCCTGAAAACACAGGATGTACGGTTAGGGTTAGGTATATGTGTGCAAATGTGCTATACAGTTTTACAAATCATGAGAGTTTCTTAATGTAACCTTTTGTGATATATCAGTATCATTGCAGAATTTTTGTTTTACACTTTTGACTTCTCCTTCATGCATTTCATCACTGCTATCACATGTAACAGGGGCAGTTGGAAGGATCTAAAATAAATAAGAATACATTAAAACTTTATGGTATGAGTGTCCTTCACAATAACAGAGATAGTTGCTGCTGCAACAGAGCAGAATAACAAAGTTTTGTGCAACACGAATTATCAATTATTTCACATAAATTGAACGGCACTTATACAGAACTAACCAGCAATTTTCTAAGAGATGCTAAAAACTTTCATTTTATTTACTATGTACATATATAAGTAAGTGACATTTTACTAACCTTAGAAAAATGAAGCGTTGTTTGTGATGCTTCTACAACATCTTGGGATTTTGCCATACCATTGTGTTTATTTGAACTGTGCTTCAAAAAATTATCAGCATTCATTTCTGCACCACAATCTTTACATTTAACCTTTCGTCTATAAATTCGTGTACGTTGAGGTTTTGTTTTTTTTGCGCGGGGCTCCTGAACGTTATCATCTTTAATTCTAGTTGCGCCTCTCTCTTAAGAGAAATTTCAATTAAATTAGAAATGTATCTGAATAAACATCAAAATTATGACAGCAAACAATGAACTCACAACTCTCCTTCGGTAATCGTGGGTTTACAAACTTCGGTAAATATAACTAACCTTCCATTGAAAAGTAGTCTGTTGTGTTCGAGTGACTCGCCATATCTCTTTCTTAGTATACTCTATACCTTCAGTAAGATTCCAGCAAGATTCCAGTGTGAATTCACTATATATTGCCTTCGTTTTCCAAGGTATAATCTATAATTTCGTATGATGCATATGACAGGGAATATGATATGCATTTAGGAAGTTAAAATGTATCTATTGGCCAATCAGTGTAAAGCGACTGAAGCGAAGAATGTCAAAAGTTCAACATGTTGAACTTTCAAAGCGACTAGCTGACGCAACTACGCTACTAGCTTAGTAACCACGCTGTTTCAGCCTGTAGAATTAAGCCAAAATTGTCAAAAATGAAGGTTTGTTATTTCCACTTAATAATCATTTAGTTGTTTTCGATGGTATGGGCCGCATGGCAATTTTTCTACTTCCTGAACATTGCCCTGCCACTTGACGGCAATATGCCCTGCAAAACACTGTTTTCAGCAAAAATACACCCCCACACCCCCACAACATTTACGCCCCTGGCCATGGTATTGAGACAAAAAAGAAAGTATTTTGGTAATCAAAGCCTTGTTTAAAGTAACGCTCTATAATCTCTTCGCAAGATGGATTTTCAGCGCGACTCTGACTATTCATTTTCCAAAATAAAATGCGCTCGAAATCGCTGCATTATACGCTGTAACTGTAATTAATCTAAGTAGTTCCTTCGTTTTGCAATCGTGATATGAATAAATGGCAGTAATAGGGCTATTCGTAAAGTGTTCCGTTATGATCGTTGATGTTCACAGATGCGACATTTTGTTGTGTATTGAAAACGTATACTTGTGCATAAAGTATTTATGTTAATGTTTATATAAAAGGAGTTGGTATATTGAGAAATATTTAGTTGTGTAATTTCATATATTTATTCGTGTTTGCAGATACGGGCCACCGTAATTTAAAATATTTGTTTGCGTCAAAAGTTCACAAAATGACAAAACTTTGCATGATGAAGTGTCAAGTTCAAACGTTATCAATTTTGAAGTATCTCTGATTACTGAGATGTGGCAAAATTATTCAAAATTAGAGATTTCGAGATTAACTACTCTGAAATTCCTTTTTTTAAATAAAAACTGCCCCTAAAATCTTGAGCCCCCCAACTTTTACTTGCTTCTCACGCCCCTGATCAAGTTATTTGTTTATCCAGATCAAAAGTTTACAAATGACAAAACTTCATTAACCACGTTTCAAAGTTGGAACGCTGACAATTCCAGAGAAGCTCTTAACTTCATAAATTATAAATCTTTAATTTTTGAGCTATCTTACTTGTAAAAGGCTGGCTACCCCGTCTTCCTTTATGATTATTTCAGTTAGTTTGCATGTAAGTCAGGATGTTCAATAATTGAAATAAATAATAGTAAACTGTGAAAGGTTTATTTGCATAAAGCTTTTAAGTCAAAATTTCTTTGTTTTTACTTCAGTCATAGCTAAAATAAAAAATTTGCATTTCATATTTTATTGGATATAAACAGAATTCAATATTTTACAATAAAAATATCAGGTGATTAAAATCAAGCATTTATTAAACATTCCGATTTCTTTATTATCAAGCAAAAGCAAACACATCATGTAGTTGGTTGCGTCGCTTTTATCCTTTTTGAATTTGTGAAGGTATGTTGATTTTAAAGTTTACTCGCCTTTATGTAACGGTGTATTCTAACATTCTGATTTAATGTTTTGTGTCCATGCATAATTTTTTTTTTGTTTTGATGTCACGAATATTATAGTTAAATATAACTTATAAATTAGTGCCACGTATGTTTTATATGGATAAGTTTTCTTCATTTTGGTGGGATTTTCAAACACAGACAAATTTTGGATACATTACACGTGGAAAATACGACTTTTCTCACATCAATACCAGTTTACTCCAATCGTTTATTTCAAATTACATTAATACAGCAAAGTTTATTAAATTAAGGTGTTGAGTCAAAATAATGACACGTCAAAGAATGTTACATGTGCATGTCGTTATGTGCAATAACTTTACTTTTTCTAACATGGCTTTTATCAAGATTTGTACAACATTTTATACAATATAGGACTAGAATATTTACATCGAAAGAGAGTATGAAGTTTATTACCTAGATATCTTATATTTCGCAAATTTTGCGTTAGATATCTTTGGAAAAATTAGTTGCAACAGATTTGCATGATCATTATCTTTGTGTCCTTTCTGTGTCTTTGTTGAAAGGCATTTTTGATATGAATAGCATTTGTTGATATCGATGGGTTTTTTAAACAGAGAAGCTCTGTTTATAGATTTTCTTATCTTCATAAATTATAAATCTTTAATTTTTGAGCTATCTTACTTGTAAAAGGCTGGCTACCCCGTCTTCCTTTATGTTTACTTCAGTTAGTTTGCATGTAAGGCAGTATGTTCAATAATTGAAATAGATAATAGTAAACTGTGGAAGGTTTATTGGCATAAAGCTTCCAAGTCAAAACTTCTTTGTGTTTGCTTCAGTCTTAGCTGAAATAAAAAATTTGCATTTCATATTTAATTGGGTATGAACAGAAGTCAATATTTTATAATAAAAACAGCAGGTGATTAAAATTTAAGATTTAGTGAGCATTTCAATTTCTTTATTATCAAGCAGAAACAAAGACATCATGTAGATGGTTGCGTCGCTTTTAATATTTTTAAATTTGTGAAGGTATGTTGATTTTAAAGTTTATCTGTAATTGATTGTTTTTTATGTAATGTGTCACAAATGACTTATATAATTAATTACAGTACTACGCATGTGTTATACGGACAACATTTGTCAATTTTGATGAAATTCTTAAACAAACGGTAATTTATTTTGGACCATTTACCATTGTAAAGTACTGACCTTTCTCTGATTAATGTTATATGTATGTAGAATCTACAAATTTGGCAAGATGAGTCAAAATAATGACACGTCAAAGAATGTTAGATTTGAATCTCATTATGTGTAATAATTTTACTTTTTCTAACATGGCTTTTATTAAGACGTGTACAACATTTCACTTTTTTCATTAATTTGTTACGTCTTATACAATTTACAATTCTTTGGTTAAGCATATTCTGAATCATCAGCGAAAAACAGTCAACAAGATCTTAAAGATCTTTGGTCAATTTAGATGGTATGTCAACGTACAACCATTAATATTTTATTGAATATAGGACCTGAATATTTACATGGAAAGAGAGTTGGAAGTTTTTCATTTAGATCTTTATATTTCGCAAATTTTGCGTTAGATAACTATGCCAAAATTAGTTGCTACAGATTTGCATGATAACTATTTTGTGTCCTTTCTGTGTCTTTGATGAAAGGCACTTTTGATATGACTAACAATTGTTGCCTTTCATGGGGTTTTTTAAACAATTACAAATAAATGTTAGATAATTTAACTTTGGAAAACACTGAACTTTTCAGCATCAGCGCTAGCAATACATTCCAACACTTCATTTCAAATATTATTCTAAAAATTGAATAAAATGTGTCAAAATAATGACACATCACAGGATTTCAGTTATGTATATCATTATACGAAATGATTTTAATTTTTCTGACATGACTATCTTCAAGAAGCACAACATTTTTTTCATTTCTTATTGGATTCTCTTGCTAAAAATCTTATGCCTGATCAACGGAAAACAATTATATTTGATGCATTTTAATTGATGTCAACATAAAATTCATTAATGTCGACACAAAATTAGGAAATTGAACGAGACTTACCTGCAGTTGAAGTTCGATTGGGATTCTATTAGCATCTACCAGAGCAGAGATTACACGAGATACTACGCATAAGCTCATTGGTCATATTTCAAAGATAGTGGCCACATGAACCGCCTAAATGTGCATATGAAGGATATGCAAGGGGCAGTAAATGATGGTGGGCGTGTAATCTCTGCTCTGTAGATGCTCATAGAATCCAATAAAACTTCAACTTGAGGTAAGTCTTGTTCGCTTTCCTAATTCTATTAGCATCTACCGCAGAGATCCCATGAGATTTGAAAGTCATGTGGACACACTTCATGCCTACACGCCAATACGACAATAAGTTATAAACATATTTTAATTGGAGATGTATCAAACATACCCAGAAATAGTAACAAATATGAATTCAAAGTATTTCCTCCACTTGCACTATACATGCAAGTATATGCGTTCTCAACTCCATTCCAAGTTCAACTAAAGACAATTCTCATCCAATATCTGTCTTATTGGGACGCTGAAAGAATGGCATTCCCAAACTCTGCATTGCCACGTCGAGACACAACGTTCTTATTGTAAAGCTGATGAAAAACGCAATCAGCCTTCCAATTTGCAGCTTTCACTATAGAGTTTATCGAAACATTACATTGCTTCGCTTTATTGGTGGCTGCGGTTCGTGTACTATGTGGTTTGCACGTTTCTATATGAATTCCTACAGATTGCATGACAACCTTTATCCAACGAGATATAGATGACTTCCATACTTTATGAAAGGGTCGAATTGTGCTAAGAAATAGTTGATTTTTCTGAACCAGAATGGGAGCAGTGCGTTTAATATATTCTTCCATGACTGAGGCAACACATAGTCGGTGATCGGCAGGGAACTTTGGTATCACTAAAGTAGGTTGAATGCGTGTTAGTCCAGACTGTTTGACAAGATGGTCGATATAGAAGGTGTATGAGTCTTCTTCCTTCTTTACAGTTAAGAGTTTCATGAGGTGGAGTGATTGGGCACGCCGCTGTGACTAATGTACATTGCATTACCAACTTATCAGTAAGCTGTTGAGGGTTAAGTCTTCTACTGCGGGATGTGTCTTTAAATACTCTAAAACAATGGAGGTGTCCCAGGTCACTTGATGTCTTGGTAGTGCTGGTCTAGATTGGAGCACTCCCTTCATAAATTCCTGAACCATATGATGTGTACCAATCGTAGAATTCTCTTCAGTAATAACGAATGAAGATAACATACTTCGAACAGTGTTTATGCAACTGTAACGCATCCCTTGATCAAATAGGTAATGTAGAAAGTCTAGAACTACCTGTAAAGTTGGATGAAGGGAGTCTGCATTTTGTTGTTCTTTTGTTTGATTGGATGGTAAGCTCAGGTTGCTTTTGTTTTTGGGTAGGAGAATGGGTCGGTGAATCATTAATCTTGCCAGCATCGGATACCAGGATTGAGTGGGCCAATTCGGCACAATAAAAGTTGTCCGTGCCTGGGCCATTTCTATTTTTTCTAAAACTTGTGATATAACACTAAAAGGTGGAAAAGCATAAAGAAACAATTTACTCCAATCAATGCAAAAAGCGTCAATAGTCCACGCCTGTGGATCTGGGTGCCGTGAGACATAGGGTTTAAGTTGATAGTTTAGTTTAGAAGCAAACATGTCAACTTCTGGGGTCCCAAAATGTGCTGTTATTTCAAGAAATAATTCAGCATCAAGCTTCCATTTTTTGGAATAATCAAATGTTCTGGAAGCTTTGTCAGTCACCACATTAAATTTCCCAGGGATATAGCTGACAGTTAGCCATATGTTCCTGATTCTGTACCACGCCCAAATTTCCCTTGCAATTTTATCGCCATGGTGAGAGTGGCAGCCCCCCATGTGGTTAAAATATGCAAGGGCAGTGGTGTTGTCAGTCATTACTTTAATGTGGGTGTGGAGAAGATCTCTACAGAGAGATTGTAGCCATAATAGCTTTGAGTTCCAGACAATTAATGTGCGAGTCTTTTTCGGTGATTGACTATTCGCCTCCGGTGAACTGTTTGTTAACACTTGCGCCCCATCCCCTAAGGTAGAGGCGTCCGTATACAATACGTGGTCAATCTTGCCGTGATTCAGATGTTTTCTGGACTCATATGCATTTTTAATCCACCAAGATACGTCCTCCAGTACCGAAGAGGAGAGTTTCAATGTCGCGTCAAAGTAACCCCTGACGATCGACATTTTGGACTTCCGAAGGAGACATTTTTATAGATTGGGGTTGCTTCAGCTGGACTGGATCTATAAGAAAATCAATCTTGTATCCACTTACAGCTGATAAAATGGAAGGATCATGAGTTAGCTCCCTCCACTTCCCAATAAATTGCTGTATCCGGCCTACAACTATACTACAATCATTGTCTCCTCCAGACATGATAGAAGAACTACACTCGCGTTTGCTAAAACTTACACGATCGAGAGTAGGAGTCACTGCTTTCTTAGTGTTTCCCCCTGTCTCGACTTTCCTCTTCAATTGGTTTTGATAATAGTTGCGTCGTTGGGCTCGGCTTTGCAATTGACCACCTCGACGTTGGAACAAAAAAAGTACATTGGATTTATATGTGCTGGTCGACCGTTGATCATTGCGTTTCCGTTTTTGGCTTGAGAGTTGCTGTGCAGCCTTTTTGCTTTCTTTTACTGTTTTCAGGCGTTCCTTTAAATCATCACCAAACAGTTCTTCAGCAACAGGTTCCTTGTTACTGCTGATTGCCTTATAATTTTCAACAAGTCCCTGCGGCACATCTTCAGATCCTGATTAGCTGAAGCGAGAAGCACAATTCATTTGGACAGCCCATCCCGAATAACTTTTAGTGTACTGGTAACGGTGCATGTGTTGTAGGGTTTGTTCCAAGAGATGTAATAATCGTTTCCGCAATTCGGGAAATCGGAATAAGGCCCTTTATTAAGGCTTCTTGCATGTAATTTTTGTAGACGTGCATCCATAATACGTGTGGATTTCCTAGCAATGTCCCAAATTTCTGGGTTCACCTTTGTAACTCTTAACAGGTCACATTTTTCGGGTCGTTTTACCCCTTTCTTCCGTTTTCATAATGTTTAATGGACAGAATGCTGGTCAGGATTTTAGAAATGTTTGTTCTCAGTCACTTCGTGAATCAGCTCATCTACCAAAGCATCGCTTTGGTTTGCTAGAGCTGGAGCTGTATCTGCAACTACAGCAGCAGCCCCGTTGGTTGAGTGTTCGTCACCAGTTTCACTTTCAGACATATCAACATCGTTCATTTGGCGTGCAGCATCATAAGCCTGCTTAAGCTCTTTTACGACAGGACCAAAAGTATTCAACAAAACAGTAAGTTGATCGACTTTCTGGTTAAGGTCATCCAAATAGTTCTCCCGTCATTTCCTTCTTCTAGGAGATTGTTGTATTTGGCTTTAGCAGGGTGTTTATACCCGGCCCAGCCAGATTTGCTCATTTTGTAGACGAGCCGTTTCTGTTCCGGTTCATTGTCTACATTCACGTCTCCTAATAAGCCCGACAGCGTCGGATTAGGATGGTTATGCAAGAGCGTCAGGTCATCTGCTTGCTCAATTGCTTCGCTGACTTGTGCCATTTGTTGTTGAATAGATTATCTAACCACAGAAAAAGAGTTTGCCGCGCAAACTTAGTGGTTATGCAGGTATTTTGTCCTGTATTGTTTTTTACAACTTTTTTGTCATTCTAAACAGCCGGATGGCAAATTATTTTATGCATTATTCGTATATGACCAAACACGCCATCTGTAATGGCGGTGAGCAAGGTAGAGAATGACCAAGGTGGGCATGCGTAGTATCTCGTGGGATCTCTGCGTTAGATGCTAATGGAATCGATGATTTTTAAGGCAAATTGATCGTTATCATTTCCAGTTGCATGTATTTCTTGTTCTGTTTGGTTGGTGTGGGCATTCACACTCACGCATCATGGAAAGTCAAAAAAATGTGAACTTTGGGAAAAATTCTGCTAGGCTGTCATTTAACACCACGTCACCAATGATAAACAACATGTCTTTGTCCACCAAAGTAAGCCTTCCTTTTGATTTCCCACCAACTATGTCTAAAGCAACAAAATAAACGTTCACTCGATGATAAGCAATGGCTGATATACTATGATCCTTATATTGGCCATTATATGACCCACCAATTAAAGCTTGGAGGCGTCTTGTAGAATGGTGAATTCTTGGTGCAGTTGCTTATTTGAATGAAAATTTCGTGTCTCTTGATAACACTCTTTATTTGGTTGCCAGTGTTTTCCGCCATTTGTCAGAGACCATCAATGTTTTTGTCGTTACGATAACATTGAAGAGAAGTAACTGTTCCGTGTACTGTTTTACGAGCACTGATAACATCCATAGTGCTACTTTGTAAATATATGTTTAAGACACTAACATTTTCACAATTTTATTTTTAGAAGAACAAAACAAAAGACGAATACGAAACCTGCAACAGTATCGAATTAAAAATTTGCGGGCGGTGAAGTTTATGGATCCTTATGCTTTGTTAATTAAACCAATGCTTTGGTAATATTCTTGACTTGTCGAATAACTGCATTGAGGGATTTGCAACACACAAACACCTGGTTTCATATTGGGATTTGAGTGTGAGCTTTGTATTGCTGTTTTACAATGCGCATCACCAAAAAGGGTATGTGACTGATTGCTTTCTTTTAAAATGTATCGGTTCAACATATGAGAGTGATTTCTTGATTACTAAGTTTAATTTAATGAAACAGAGACTTTGTCGTGGTGACAAACTTAAAGATAGATTTAGAAAATAGCAAATATCATGGTGAATGGTGATAATAACAATGTAATAGTTCTTAAAAGAACTGTTTTAACCAAAATACTAACCAAACAATTCAAAGGAACCGTTATTTACAGCTAGAAAGAGACACTATGCATTTCGGCAGACTACTCGTCAGGTGTCAACGTCTGCTAAATGAGAACCTCCAAACCATGCTATATTTATAACGTTACAAAAGGTCAATGTCATCCCTATTTTTAGAGATGACACTTAAAACAGAGACAGATTAAACACGTAATCCTTTGTCGGCAAAGGACAGGATTAGTCAATTTAATTAATACCGACTCCATGACGCGTAGCTGGAATAACGAGCGACATTTTTTAATAATTCTAAAGTTTTCATCAGAATAAGCATTGACACAGCGAGTGTTGCTCAAAGATGTTTTCCAATCGCTGAATCACATAGAATCGGATTTTCACTTTACACCCACGTTTTGGTAGTTGTTGTAAAGGAACAGTTTTATTCCTGACAGAAGCTGGTACATGCTGTTTTATTCTTTCACTCAACCTTGAGAAGTCCTACCTACATAGCGAGCATCACACTCACATTTAAACTCGTAGACTACATTGCTTGATATTTGAGCAGGGAGAGACTCTTGGGAGTGGGTGGAAGAATAGTTCTTTGAGAATATAAAGACCACATTGCATGCAAAAACATTCGGTGATATTTTTAGTTTCTTGATGTCATTAGAGGCCTTACCCATCCAGGGAAGTTTAAGGAAAACAGGGCACTTGGCCGGTCCGAAAAGTTTATTCCGTTCATTGTTTGTGGATAAGAAAAGTTTGTCTAGCAACTTCTCCGGATATCCATTTAACACAAAAATATTCTTCAGTGAGATAAGATCACTATCAATAAACTCTTTTGATGGCAATCTATCAATTAGCCTTTTTAGATGTTCTTGTACACAAACGCAATGGTCAGTTCTTAACAAGCATTCATCGCAAAGCAACATTCACTGGTTTGTACAAACGCTTTGACTCTTTCTCTTCGCATAGAGAAAAGATTTCTATAGTGAAGTGTTTGATAAGGCGAACGTGCAATGTGGTCTTTATTTTTGTGTTAAAGGGATATCCGGAGAAGTTGCTAGACAAACTTTTCTTAACCACTAACAATGAACGGAATAAACTTTTCTATCGGCCAAGTGCCCTTTTTTCCTTAAACTTCCCTGGATGGATAAGGCCTCTAATGACATCAAGAGGGAAACTAAAAATATCACCATGCAATGTGGTCTTTATATTCTCAAAAAGAACTATTCTTCCACCCATGTGGGTGTAAAAGTGAAAATCCGATTCTATGTGATTCAGCAATTGGAAAACATCTTTTGAGCAACACTCGCTGTGCCAATGCTTATTCTGATGAAAACTTTAGAATTATTAAAAAATGTCGCTCGTTATTCCAGCTACGCGTCATGGAGTCGGTATTAATTAAATTGACTAATCCTGTCCTTTGCCGACAAAAGGATTACGTGTTTAATCTGTCTCTGTTTTAATAGTCCAGTCAATCTACGACCAAAAACACTCTAAGCTTGAACAAATTTCCACAAAAGAAATTCCAACTGATTTTGGTATATTTGATATCCCTTTACAACATATCGAAAGTCCCACAAAATCCTAGCACGGCAACATCGTGTAAATTACGTTTTATTTGAGGCATTTGGATTGAAAATCTGAGCGACATGGAAACGAGGCTCAAAAATTAATGTATTAGATTTTATCCTTTTAGAACACTTAGTAAAGCACAAATATAAATATTATAGATTAAATACAAGTGGATAATGATATTTTGTAAATCAATTAATATTTTGTCCTTTATTTACGTCAAAAATGCTGATCTTGCTGTTTTGGGTACTAATTTTCGCTGACTTGGTAGTTTTTTAGGCAAACGCGTGTTTGAAGTACGTTTGTTTACGTATATTTTGCACGTGTTTAGATGGATATTTATTATATTTAATGTGACTTCCCTTTCAATACTTCAAATTGTAGCTTTGGCTCATTATTGGCATCAAAATGTGACGTTTCTTTGTTCTCCTCAAGGTAAGCAAAATAGATAACTTGAAGACAATGAGTTAATGAATGTATTATTTAATTGCTATTACATTTTACAATGAATGAATACGTCAATATTGTAGGTCACAATAATTTAAGTTAAAACTAACAAGAGGGGGCTATAATTAGCGACCTAATTACCAAATACAATGTTTGCATTATAATACCGCGTTCAAAGCCATAGATACATTAGGGCTGTAAAATATCGCATAAACCAGTAAATAAAACCAGGCTTTTTTGTGTTGTCGAACACTATTTTGCTTGTGAATCATTATAGGATGGATCAAATTCTGCGTCAGTACTGTGCAATATGTAAAGAATCAATTGTGAACAACGGGGTGGCTCTAACATCTAAAGGGATAGATGGTATAAACCGAGCTAGTAAAGAAAGAGGCGATACAGTTGACGTCCGTGAAGGTGACAGCGTTCACATAGCATGTAGGAAACGATACACAAATCCATCGTATATTTCTAAATCGCTACGTCAGAAGGAAGAGCGTCATCCCGTACCAAGAACCCTTCGCTCACAAAGTTCAGTTCAGTTCGATTTCAGAAGAGATTGCTTGTTTTGCGGAAATGAAATTAATCAAGAACAAGAGCGCAAAAGGGGGCGTGTTTTTTGCACTGTTAGGACTATGGACATTCAAGACACTATCTTGAATGCTTGCAAAGTGAGATGCGATGACTGGGCCGAGTCCGTAAAATCAAGGATCCAAAGTGTGCATGACCTACCGGCAGCTGACGCAATGTATCATCATCTATGCAGTACAAACTTCAGGACAAAAATGAGAATTCCAGCGCCATTTAATGACCAACCACCGCTCAAAAAGCGCAAATCAGGACGACCAATCAACAACACTGCCAACGATGCATTTTTAAAGGTAGCTCAATATTTAGAAAACATTGATGACCAAGTTACTGTATTAGATTTAATAAACAAGATGGAGGAGTATTTGGCGGAGTCCGCGACTTCACATTTACACGTATAGATCAGGCCATTACTCTTGCTGCAGGCTCATCAGTATTTAATAAACGGAGTAAAAGTACATGTCGATCCACAGCTTCTGTTTCAGAGGTTAGTCTTTGCACGTAATACCGTTGATGATTTAGAAGAAGTATTTCAATACGAGCTTTGTAGTTATCCAGCAGCCTTGTTCGATTCCCCGCTAACGTTGCGACAGCCTCAGAAGTCTAATCTTGCAGACACATTGTGGGAAATGCTGTCACCTGATGCTAAGGCCGGCCCGGTCGGCGAAACCAAATTCGTCATTGATGGAGGAGCTCTTCTTCATCGCGTACCATGGCCAAAGAAAGCAAGCTATAAAGAATTATGCCAGAAGTACTGCCACTATGTAAAGCAGAAATATGGGGCAGGAAGTTGTATTGTTTTTGACGGTTATGATAACCCATCTACTAAGAACATGGCGCAACAACGAAGATCATCCGGAAAGGTTGGGGCAACAGTGTCATTCGAAGCTGACATGAAAATAACAATGAAAACAGATGTATTCCTGGCTAATATACACAATAAGAAACGACTTATACCTACTCTTCGAAATTATCTGGATTTGAATGGCTGTACTACACTCCAAGCCGATGGCGACGCTGATCTTCTTATAGTAAAGTCAGCTGTTTCATGCCATGAAATCTCCTACCGTTCTTGTTGGAGATGATACAGATCTTCTTGTTTTAATGTGCTATTACGTCAAAGTGGATGAGGGATGTGGTCTTTATTTTCGTCCAGAACCAAAGAAAACAACTAAACGTAGAACGGAAAGAGTATGGAACATGAGAATAGTGAGATCAGAGCTGTGAATCTCTGTGTAAAACATTTTGTTTCTTCATGCTATTGCTGGTTGTGACACGACATCCCGACCCTTTGGCCTTGGAAAATCGGCACCTCTTAAGAAATTCACAGATTCAAACTATTTCCGTGAACAAGCATCAGCATTTGAAGTTTCAAACGTCAGCATGAATACGGTTATCCAGAGTGGTGAAAATGCCTTGGTCTGCATGTATGGAGGAAAAAGGCGAGACTCTAGACAGTTTGCGCCACAGGAAGTACTACGAGAAGGTGTGCACTAAAGGCCGAATGGTAGAGCCCCAAAGTCTTCCCCCAACATCTAGTGCAGCCAAGTATCATTCATTGAGAGTCTTTCTTCAAGTTAAGCAATGGCAGAGTCAAGACGAAGGATTGTTGATTGATGCATTTGGTTGGAAAATGTGGTTATGCTATCGTACCTAGAACAACTGATCTTCCAGCAGCTCCTGAAAACTTGCTTAATATGATACGATGCAACTGTACCACAAATTGTTCAACTGCAAGATGTACCTGTCGTAAAAATGGACTTCACTGCACAATGGCATGTGGTCAATGTAGAGGTACTGGTTGCACTAACAGTGGTGTTGATGTTGAAGATGATTAACAAAAGCATGAAATGACAGAAATGTCTTTGTAAATCAAAGTACACTATATTAACCATATGTAAATTTAGTGACACTCTTGTATTACTATGTAACCTAAAGGATTCCTTTTTTCGGTCGTTGAAGACTTAACATGATTTTAATAGCCACGCTGCAGATTTATATAATCAAATATGATATTCGTTAGGTCAAAGCAGTGTTATTTTGTAATTTTGTTTATAGCCCTCGTTTTCATGTCATAATTTCACAGAAAACATTATTTTACGAAGTTGCCGGCCCTCAGATCGGGATTTTAATATGTTGTTCTGTACATGAAAGGAAAGATATTTTGAAGAGTGAGCTTGTGGGAATTAGTTCAAGATTCAACCATAAATCTACTGGACTATAAGTGTCATCTCTAAAAATAGGGATGACATTGACCTTTGTAATATAAATATAGCATGGTTTGAGGTTGTCATTTAGCAGACGTTGACAACGAATAAATGCATAGTGTCTCTGAATGGTTCTTTGAATTGTTTCATTAGTATTTTGGTTAAAACAGTTCTTTAAGAACTATTACATTGTTATTATCACCATTTGCCATGGTATTTGCTATTTTCTAAATCTATTTTGTTTTTTAATTTGTGTGCATGGGAGTGTATGTAAATGGAAGGTGAGCTAACTCCCTTTTCCTAATCTTTTCCTTCATGCTCCATTTCTCTCTTATAACTTAATTCCATTAACGTCTTTTTAGTTTTTTTGATTGTTATGCAAATGACATATGGAGTTAAGCTCAAATGCCAATGGTTACTCAAATCTTTGGGGTCCTGTGCCCCCTTATCAATAAGCCTATGCCACAACAAATTTTTATTGGAAGAAACAGACACGTTGTATAGTTTTGATGATGTAAATTTAAGACAAAATTTTAGAGCTTTTTTTTCATTTTTTAGATTTTCCACAAACATTTTAAATGTTAGGCATGTTTTGATTAACTTTAAATGCATGCAAAAAACTCGGCAAATAAATTGTACATTTTATGGCAATTACATGAAATTCAGATGTCGATTACATACAGAATACTATAAAATTGTAACACCAGAGTATACCACAATATTTACAGTGTGTAATTGATTAATTTTTAAATTTTTGTTTTTCCATCAAACGTGACATTTCTTATGTTTTACATGTTTTTTATTGGAAGGAAGAATAATTTCTTATGGTTGTTACGATTGATTTCTTCGAAGGCAATCAAATCTTTTATAAGGAATAGGAATTTTTAAATGCAAAGGCTACATTACAGAACACTCTGCTTCATATATATTTCCATTGTACAGCTGACTAAGTAATAATTGTATTCAAGTAGACAGCCTGCAAAACTTGTGTGTCAGTTAGACAAATTATTAAACACCTTCCTAAGTGATAATATAACTCAGTACCTCCATTTTCATTACAACATGCAGTGGCGTCGCAAAGTGGGGCCTTGGGAGGGGTCACGCCCCTTTAAAACTGGCTGTGCCCCCGTGCCCCATCTGAATTTTAGATAAGAGTATTTATATGCATCGTTCGAAATTGAAAAAGAAGCACATGGCATTAATGTAGCTCTTACGGAATTCGCACAACTTTACTGTAAAGGAAGTATTCTTTAGCTGTGCAGACTAGTTTGCGTTGCATTTACCCTTTATGGGTTGTTAGCCGAGTGGTAAAGATTTCAATTCTATAACAATGAAAACAAAACAATAATTCTAGAATAATTTAAGTCTCTAGTAGGCAAGGAAGAACAAGTAATATTGTGATGCTTATCATGAACCACATTACACCATATCATAGAACTTGTATAAGATCGTGGACAAGTATACTCGTAGACTCAAACTTGTAGACACAAAAAATAATATACCAATGACTAAGAGTAAGGCTCTAAAAATACTGAAATTCTGGGAGTATTTATAATATGAAAACATTTCATTAAAATCAATAATCAATCTACGTAACGTTATAACACGAAGAATGTACAAATCCACCAAGGTTAAACTGAGAAGTTAAAAATTGATACTATTCATGTTGTGATAAATATTTCAAAAATTTCCAGTGCAGAAGCAATTTTGAGGGCCATTTCTCTAGCGAATGACGTGGTACAAATTTTGTGCCCCTCCCCTCAAAAATCTCCTGCGACGCCACTACCAAAATGTAGCCAAATGCCTAAATGCAGGAAAAATAAAATGTCCAATTGCGTTGTTTTCAACTGCCATCCTCGATATTCATTTACACGTACAAGTAAAACTGTAACAGTACATAGCTATGTTTGATCTTCAACACTTTTAGTTGTCTAAAACTCTAATTAAAGAGCCATAATATTATCAATTTTATGACTCTTAGATGCAGTCAAGGAAGAAATCAATAACTCCTCTCTGCAGAAAGTACTTACAGATGTTGAAAAGAAACTTGTTGATCTTTTTTATCCAAGAATGGAAACAATCATTACGAACAATCTCGAAAATGGGAAAATACAAACGTCAGTGGTCAGAAATTGTTCAACTTTGAAAGATCAAAAAATATTTCGTGATGAAAAAAATATTGTCGAAACTTAAAGATGGAGGACACAAGTGTGGGATTGTACAAAAATATGTAAAGCAATATTGTTTACCCACCTCAATTGGAACAAACATTAATGATAAAGTTAGAGCTGCTGTGGACAAACTTCGTGATGTAAGAAACAAATTAATCCATGCACATAAAGAAGTTTCTGATTCGAATTTCATACAATGGTTTGTGATATTGAAAACTCATTTCAAGATCTAGGATTTTCATTCACTGAAATTATCAAAATAAAAGTGAACGAAACATATTTTATTCTTTTCAAGCAACTTCCTTGCAAATCAAATCACGATGTGTTAAACGTACAGAATTACGAATCAAATCACAGCAGATCTCAATAACTTGCGCAGTACTAACAATAATGAATGAACATATTACTATATTTCTGGTAATCCTGGCAGTGGTAAATCTCAATTAGCTAGGACAAGTTTAGAAGAAATGTATAACCTGTTTGACTGGGAAAAGAATACAACACTTGAGATGCCTCGAAGGAAAAGATATCGACTCTCTTTTAAAAATTATGCTGAACTTTATCAACGATTAAGCAATGATAAAACTGTCATTGAAAATATTTCAAAGAAGCAAAAGAAGACAAAATTAAAGATTTTCA